CTGGAGTGCAGTGACATGATCCCAGCCACCACAGCCTCGACCTGCTGGACTCCGGCGAATCCTCCGCCTTAGCCTTCCAAGTAGCTGGAACTACAGGCGCGTTCCACCACGCCTGGCTAATTAGGACATTCTTAATTAAAAGAGATTGGCTTAAAAAAAAATTGAGAGTAACAGTGAGGAATACAGTCATTAGTGGTTTACTAGTACCATTTGCTGTCACCATCTTGATTTGTGTTAAAAATGTCATTTTTACCCATTACTGCTACTGTACCATCAGTGCAAATGTCCACATAGTGGAAAAGGAACAAATGAAGTCTTTTTATTCTTGTGAAAATAATTTTTTTTTTTTTTTGAGTTGGAGTCTCACTCTGTCACCCAGACTAGAGTGCAATGGCCGCTCCTGGCCACTGCAACCTTGACCTACTGGGCTCTGGCGATCCTTCCATCTCAGCCTTCCAAGTGGCTGGAACTACAGGCACATGCTACCATGCCCTGCTAATTGTTGATTTATTGTAGAGATGAGATCTCGTCAACTTGCCCAGGTGGGTCTCGAACAGGCAGTCCACTCACCTCAGCCTCCCAAAGCGCTGGGATTACAGGCTGAGCCACCGAGCCCAGCCGTGAAAATAATTTTAACCTCTTAGACCGCTGAAAGGATCTTAAGGATTTCTAGAAAGTTCATGAGTCATACTTGGAGAAATTTAATTTAGAGTAAAGAATGCTTTATATTCTAAACAGAATGATGATGAGTTAAAATCATTAATAAAGGCTTCCTGAGGTTATATATGTTAAGTTCAAGTAAATTTGTAAATGTTTGTGGAAATATCTTTAGTTATACAGTGGTGAAGAGGAATTATTTTCTAGCACCCAGGATAACCTCAAAGAAATGGAGGCAAAAATGAACTTAAGGTGTTTGAGGGATGACAGTGAGATTAAGATCAGTAGAGTACAGCATTTATAAAGGTAATTGAATATGTTTCATGAGCTTTGCCAGATTCTCAGGATTTTTGCCTAGATAGCTAGGAAAAGGAGTTTAAACTTAAAGGGGGAGCCATTGAAGACACCTAAAGTGTTGAGGGAGGAGTGTCTAAAATTCTTGAGTGCATTTGGGGGGAGTGTCTAAAATTCTTGAATGCATGTGTTCATTTTTCTGAAAAGAAGTAACCGTAGTTTCATCAGGTGCTCAGAGGCCTGTGACTGACACATTTCCCATACCTTTTAGGTTATAAACCATTTTTTAGATTATGGTAATGACAAAATAAAACCGAGGTAGGAATTAGGCTAGTCATGTTAGATAAGATGGATTGGAGAAGTAGAAAAGGTGTTGCAGTAATCTAAGCCTGAAACTGTAAGAAAGAAGTAGACATGAGACAAATTTTGAAGAAAAAAAATCAACAATAAATACAAGCTCAATGTGGGCGATAAGAAGTAATGAAATTCAAGGGATTAGATCTTAGTAATGCTGTTATCAAAAATAGAGAAGTTAGCTGAGCTCTGTGGTCAGCTGATAATCCCAGCACTTTGGGAGGCTGAGGAGAGTGGACTTCTTGAGCCCATGGATTTGATACCATCCTGGACAGCTTGGTGAGACCTTGTCTCTACAATAAATAGAAAATATATAATGCGCACCTGTAGCTCTGGCTGTTTGGAAGGCTGAGGTGGAAGGATTGCCAGAGCCCAGCAGGTCAACGCTGGGGTGGCAGTGATTGTGCTACTGCACTTCAGCCTGGGCAAGGGAGTGAAGACTCTAACTCCAAAAAAACAAAAAGTAGAGAAGTTGGTGCCTGTGGTTCCAGCTACTCAAGAGGCTGAGGCAGGAGGATTGCTTGAGCCCAAGAGTTCAAGTCCTGCCTGGTCAGCATTGTCTGTTGAAAAACAAAAAAAGAGACAGAAATTGAAATAATTTGACCAAAAAGCCAAACAGGTCAAGCATTGTTTATTTTGTCTCACTTGCTTTTGATCAGAAATAGCTTTATTAAAAAAGATTAGAACAATAAAGTAATTCACGCATTTTCATCTTGAAATGGTGACATATAATTTCTCTCCATTTCACTTAAAGAGGTTATTTTAAGATGTTTATAAACATTTGTAGCAGAACATATGCTTTATTCTTTTATATACTTATTAGAAGCAGTGTTTATTACAGAAAAACTGAAAGAAATAGATGAGCAAAAGGAAGAAAAAGAATAAATCATAATCTTTCCAACCAGACTAGTCACTGTTAGCTTTATAGTTTGCATCTAGCCTGTCTTCTTTGTATATTATGTACCTTTTTTTGTTTGTTTGAGTTGAATTCTTACTCTGTCTCCCAGGCTGGAATGCAGTGGCACACTCACAGCCACCACAGCCTCGACCAGCTGGGCTCAGGTGATCCTTCTGCCTCAGCCATTCAAGTAACTGGAACTACAGGCGCGTGCTACCATGACTGGCTAATTTTTTAATTTATTGTAGAGATGAGGTCTCGCCGAGTTGCCCAGGCTGTTCTTGAACCTACGGGCTCAGGCAATCCTCTCACCTTGGCCTCCCAAACTGCTGGGGATTACAGGCTTGAGCCACCGCGCCCAGCCTGTTACGTACCATTTTTAATGCACATGAATTCAGTCAACACTTGTTTATAACATGACTATCATATGCTTGCTAGACATTATGCCATATTGTGTATGTTTTGTTAGCATCTTTTTTATACTTAACATGAGTATTTTTTTGTCAAATGATGTACTAGATTCTGGGAGGGTCATCTGATATTCATTTATATGGATCTAATTTATAAGTATTTGAAATGCTTTAAATATTACCTATTTTTGTGTGTGTGTGTTTTAAAAACTTGTTAATGAAGTTTATTTTATTTTCAATTAAAAATTGATTTCTTCTTGTTTCAGTACAGCTATTGGAATCAGGTGTAAAGATGGTGTTGTCTTTGGGGTAGAAAAATTAGTCCTTTCTAAACTTTATGAAGAAGGCTCCAACAAAAGACTTTTTAATGTTGATCGGCATGTTGGAATGGTAAGGTCGTATTTTAAGATATTTCTTTTTGCCTTGTCCAATTTCTTTTGAAGTAAGGGATTGAGATGGATCAATGAGCAACCACAAAATTAATCAGACTTACTGGGTGTGGGCAGTTCACTGTTCAAAAGAAAAGTAGCATTCTCATAATTGTATTGGTGACAGATATGAAAAACCAAATTGATTTGAGGGGGAGAGGGAGAAGAGTGGGGAATATGTGTAGAAAAAAGAACTTGGCAGCAAAGATTACCAATGAAGGTATATGCTTGAGAAGGAAAGAGACCAGCTTTTTATATCCCTTGTGGGGATCACTGTCACACTGAAGATATTATCAGATAGAGAACACCTTTGATAAGGTGGAGCACTAAGAAAGGATGTTTATTGAAAGGGAAAATGAGCACATCCTTAAGAACTTCATAGTCATCACTGTAAGTTATTTCATGTACCTGATTTTTAAGTTGTCCTAGTGACTGCTTTGCACCATTGCAAGCCAAGCCATAAATATACTACTGGTTTATACTGAAGTTATCCTTTATAGATGTCAGACTTTGATCTCATCCTTTATAGATGTCAGTAAGAACCACCACTAAAGGAATGAAATGATTCTAACCTTGCTACAAGAAAGAAAAGAGAACACCTATGTACTAGGTAATATGCTGGGAGCTGTCTACATAATTATCTTTAATCTTGACAACCCAGTGAAGGTAATATTAATCCTTTGCATTTTGATGTCTCCTCTCAGGGGACATAGAGAGATTGCTGGTGACTATACAGGACAAACTTATACCAGTGCAAATTTTTCAAAAATGTATGATTTCTTGAAGTTTTCCATTCAAATTGCATACCAAAAGCAAATAAAGAAATGGAATATATACTGAGATACACTTTCAAAAAAATCAGCTGGTGTAACATAGAAAGAGAATGTCTTTCTACATTGTCTTTGAACAATGTAGACTGGACAATAAATTAAGTATTATTAACATGGGAGGAAGAAAACGAGACTGCATTGTATGCTTGATTAGAAAAACGCAGGGTGGAAGATATCAAATTATTCTTGCACAACATGTGTCAATGAACCTGTAATGCATGTTGGTGACTGCTTCACATGTTGCCACACACTGGAAAAACATAAGACAAAATTTAGATTTTGGGGTTTTTTTGGTCATAAATAAGTTCCTCAATATCCATGGTTGCATTTTAAGCCAAATACCATTACAAATAATTGGTTCCAACGCTGTATTATTTAACCCTTTGCACTCAAATGCCCCCTTTGAGGGGGCATCGTAAATCTAGCAAACCACTCAGATGTCTCTTCCCAGGGGACATAAAGCAATTGCTGGTGATTACACAAGACAAACTTGTGCAAGTGCAAATTTTAAAAAAGTTTCCTTGAAGTTTTCCATTCAAAAACAATGAAAAACTTGTGTCCCATTTGAAATTTGTCAGGTTTCTGATGGGTCAGTTGAGAAGTGGTTTTTAAGAATCACGAGTGTAGCCAGGCTTGGTGACTCAGGCTGTAACCCCACGCCTTGGGAGGCTGAGGTGAGTGGATTGCCTGAGCCCATGGGTTCAAGACCCGCC